TGTGTTTACTTTTACTTGTCATTTATTTCTAAAATAGATTTTACCCTCGACATTAAAAAAACTATAAATAGAAGGATAATAATTTTTTCCATGTTTTACCCTCGACATTAAATACTTATTTTTCAAATTATTTTTTTAAGACATTTTAATAGGAATAGTTTGGTAAAATACATATTTCAATAATTATTTTCTTAATGGGTGTGTCAAGTCAAAGTTTGACAAGTAAAAGTGAACAGAGGGAGTAATAAATACAATACCTTGAAAATGTAATAAGAAAATTACTATAATTAATGCCAAGGATAAATTAAAAATTAAATGTGAATTATTTATTGATTTTATGTGGACAAATATTATTGAATATTTTAAAATAATATAATTGACAATCATTATTGAACGGAGAAAGTATATTTTTTACTAAATCCCTTAGACAAATCGACATGACACTTGAAAAGAAGTTAACACATATTACAAGAGAAGAAAGTGAAACTAATTAATATTTCTCGGGATCATTATAATTGACAATCATTATTAAACGGAGAAAGTATATTTTTTACTGAATCTCTTAGACAAATTGACATGACACTTGAAAAGAAGTTAAACACGGTATTAATTAAAAGAGAAGAAAGTGAAGCTAATTAATATTGCTCGGGATCACTTTTTCTATTTGAACTCCTACATTTTACTGAATTTTTGAAATATAATATAGTGGATGACTTCTACTATCCAGACTCAAAAAGTAAAAGTATTTATCTTGATAAAAAAAAATTAGAATAAATATTGTGAGTAATTTAAAAAATAAAGATGTGCTACATGTTCATATTCAACATATTATTGAAAATTTTGAGGTGTTAATCTTATTTGTGGGTCATAATTAAGTGGAATTGAAGCGAATGCTATTGATAAAGGTCGTGGTGAAAGTAGTAAGTACTCCATCATTCTTAAATAAAAGTCTTGGATTTGAGTTATATACGGAATTGAACATCAGATAGAAAACAAAAAAAAGTGAATATTGCATCTAGGACAATAAATGGTGAAAATAATAAAAATATAAATATTGGAGGTAGAGATAACATAAAAGAGACTGCATAGAGTTAATAAGTTGTTATTTGTTTACACAAAAATTTCATAACATACAAAAGATACTAGTAAGAGCAATGACACTTATATATATCAATATGTATAAGAATTGAAATTTTAATCTCAGATTCAAAATACTGGAAGGATAGAAAATCTAACTTACTATATATTACTAGGAAGAAAAAAAGACTCAAAGCTCATTTAAGCCAAACAAAAGAGAAGCACAAATTTTCAAATTCGAAATAATTACATAAAAGGCAACAAGGTGATTCGTATAATAACAACTGAAAGATCCAATAAAATCACAACAAATGAAAGTAAAGTTTTTGATGAAATGTTCATCATCAAAACAATTACGAGAGTTTGCAATTAAATACACTTAAAGGATATATAAGTAGAAAAAGCTAACAGTTTGAATTGTTTTAATCTGATAAACTTGGTAACTTTAGTATTTTGAACTCCTTTGTAATAACCGATAGTTTTACCTCAAATAGTGAAGGTACTAACCCTAACCATCCACCAACAAGGGTTGTGATGGAGTGGTAAGCACTCCTTCATCCTTAATCAGAGGTCTCGGGTTTGAGTCTCCTGGGTACGGAGTCGCCTTTGTTAGGGAGTGTTTTACCCTCCTAATATGGGATTTCCCAGTGTGAATCCGAATTTAGTCAAGCTCCAGTATGAATACGTACGGAACATCAAATGGGAATCAAAAAATAAATAAAAATATATCCCAATCATCCACTAGTTATATAGATGTTACTATGATTGAACACCTAGTAGTAAAAGGTGCTAATAATTCGTAAATGGCAACCTAGTTTGTTAAATAAATAAATATCCTTTGCAACGAAAAAAGAAGATATAACCAAATTATCATGGCATTCCTTTCACTAGAGTATGACCACATACCATTTGAATTTATGCCAGAAAGATCCACATTAGCGAGTTACTGGTGTTTGATACCTATATTGAAGCTCGACTAAATTTAAATTTATGCCAAAAAGTTCCACACTAGAGGGTAAAATGTTTCCTATCAAAGGTGGTTCTGAACCACACACAATTAAACAACCACAAAATAATCCAGCCGTGTGAGATCAAACTAAATCATAATATATCATTCTAAAACACTAAGCATAACGACATAAAACACTAGCAGAATCAATCGTCAATCAAATACTTCAATATCAAGTGGAATTCAAAATTAGTAATTAAATTGTACGCTACGTGACATGATCAAATTACCAACATGTCTAAGGGGTACAATTAAGTTGTGTCAGAGTGTTCAAGTGGGAAAATGTATGTGATGGAGGTGTTCAAGTGAAATACTAGACTAGTTTATAAGGTTGTTTATGTATTCTGACATCTATTTATATTTTATATTAGAAATGAAAAATCTAAATCAAAAAATTAAATTATCTAAATACTCTTCTTATTAGCCTAAATATCTTATCTTATTTTATAAAAAGAGAAAACTAATTCCTACAAAAAGAAATCAATGCCTCACATACATTTTAATCTTGCTCCAAAGGGGAATTATCACTATTTAATTTCATTCACTACTAAACAGAAGAAGATAAAAGTCATTATCGAAACCAACTATCCTCAATCAATTTTTGAGGAATTTCTATCAAAAATTGACCTAAAATCATTGGTCGATTTAAGACTGTTTTGTATAAAAATAGATAATTTAATTTCTACAATACAAAAATTCACACATCAAAGGACTAAATCTGATTTTAAAAAGTCCGGCTTAGCAAAGTCAACAAAAATCTTACTCATCTTTTTACTTGTCCAATTTTGACGGTTTACTTGTCCCTTTTTATTTATTATTTTTGACAAATTAAGAAAAACAATATTTTTTACCTATTATATCCTCAATTTATTTAGAGAAGTTAATGTTTTGAAAAAAAAATAGAACAGTAAATTGATTTTGTAATTCTATCAATTAATATAGATAAAATGGTAAACTATTATGTCAGTTATTATTTACTTAATATGTGCTCCAAATTAAAAATGGACAAATAAAAAGGGACAGATGGATAATAACAATTTACATCATCAGCTCTAAATGAAAATTTATTTCAAACTATAGAGTCAAAAAAAAAAAAGTCTTTTGATTGATTTTTTTACCAGATCATAGAAAATTGGATGTTTGTTTAGCCTTTTCTTTTTGTTCTTATACAATACTTATGTAAATTAATGAAAATCTCTATGTTTTATTTTATACGCATAGAATGTGAAATATAGATATATTTATAATGTGTGGATTAGAATATTAAAATGACAAACTTCATAATAGTGAATATATTTTTTAAACTAAAAAGTAAATAAATATCTTAAATTATACTCTATATACCAATTTGTACTATAATCAAACTAAATATCAAAACAAAAAATAATTCTATCATTTTGATTCCCACGTTACTAATTTCTGCATAGCTAATTTATGCATAACTCATCTTCAAATCAACTATCAAACACATAGATTTTCTCGTAACTTACATCCATTAGTTATGCGAGTTTTTAAATTGCAAATCAAACATCATATTAATTTATATATATATATATGAATAACTTACTTCATAAACCAACTAAGTACTTAACATGATATTACTTATACATAATTTAATATCTACATAACTCGTCTCCAAATCAACTACCAAACAACTCCTTAAAAACAGTAATCTCACGATATAATACATAATTATTTTACCTTACATTTAATAGATATATTAATTAATTAAAAAAATCAAAACTATTTGCTCCCCCTCCCTCTCTCTTTAGATAATTAATTTCATAAAATATCTTAATTAATAAAATAACTTTATGTATCTCATCCTCGGCATGGAAGAGAAGAGAATTTTCTAAGTAAAGAGTTTGAAATGGATGGTCCAAGAATACAAGTACTAGTCTACTACAAGTGGTCCACTAGATTACACCATTTATTAGTTTGACTTGTATTTTCTTTAATTTTAGGGGCGACTTAACAACCAACAACTTAACAAAATCAACATTTCATACTGCATTACTTAGAATGTGTTGAATACGAAAATGTTTTTTATATAAAAATAAATAAGTTTTTAATTTATTTTTATTTTAATATTTAATAAGTAAGCAAAAATATAATTTCATAATTTATATGCTTAGCGGAAATTTGTGTGAGTGAATGAGGGGGAAAGTAGGGGTTTAGAAGTGAGTAAGATGGTCAACATGAAAGTTGAGAGTGTTAACATAAGTCTGGAGACAATGAACTTGATAAGTTATTTATAATAGAGATAAGTCTGGAAGTGATTTTTTTTGACATTAAAGTTCAATTTACTTTTTCGATTATAAATTCTTAATCGAGTTGATGGCGAGATCGTGAACTTGATAAGTGTTAAATTAGGTCTTGGGCCTAACTCACACCCCAAAAGCTAGCTCAAAGGGAGAAGGATTGCACAAGCCTTATAAGGAGTCCACCCATCTCATTAATTACCGATGTGGGACTTTTGTCATTCTTTAACAATAAGTCACTTCATTACGTAACTTATTTTACCTTTTTTTTTTAATTTAAAAAAAAAGGACATTTTTCAAAATATTTGATTAATCCCATGAAAAAATCTCATATCCACTAGGGTATATTTGGTATGAAGAACAATATTTTTCAACAAAAATATTTTATTAGAAAAACTTACTTATCTACGGTATAATTTAGCAAACTACTATATAGATGAATTCAGATAGAAATGAAAATAAAAATATTTCGACTAAATAAACATAAAAAATATTTAAAACAAAATTTCCCAAATTGAAACAAGCACGTGAAAGACGTTATCTTGTCGTCAAGTAATTTTTATTTTTTTTTGTGGTTTGATCCAAAGTCCAATTTGGTGAGCTGATCAAATTACTCTTTTTCTAGTCAATAGTTGATTTTTAAGCTCTACATTTATATATATACTGTGTAGTTTCTTGACTATCTACACTAAAACTTTTTACTAGTAAAATTTTCAGTTCAGGGTCTGCTGGGTAAGCTGTAGATCGGTGGAGCAGCTGGTAAAGACTTAATCTTTTTGTCTTTCTTCTTTCAATTCAAGATTGTTTTTTTCAATCTGCTTTGTTTGAAATGAGTTGATGGGTGTTTTATGTTTTCTGATTAAAGGAAATTGATGGGTGTTTTGTGATATGGGTCAGTGTTTTTGTGTGTATGCCAATTGTTTTGTTTATTGTTGTGGTGGATATAGCCTGTTTGTTTGTACCTAGACTATTGTACTTAGTATTTGTGACCACCTATTAGCACAAATATCGAATAAATCTGTTCACCGAGTATTAGATAGATGGAAAGAAATGACCTTTAGTGGGATCTGAACCTGGTTTCTTTGTAGCTTAGTTGGTTGGCTATCTGAATTTTCACCTTGTTGGTGACGAGGGTTTGATTCTCCACATTGTTATCCACTCCCTATTTCCCCTACCCCAATTTTAAAAAATGGTTTCTTATCAAGTAACAATTATACCAGATGAAAAAGAAATTTAGTTTGCTATAGGTTGTTCAATTAGCTTTCTAAGAAGGAGGTTATGCATTAAGTAGGGATTGGATTTTAGTTAAGTCACAAGTCCTGTTTGTACGAGTGTTTTCTTTGCAGTAGCTTTTTGAGTTTCTGGAGGGAGGGGTTTACTGGGAATTGATGTGACCGAACCATAATTAAACCCACTGGTGCAGATATGTATCGTTAGGTATATGTTGTGTATCTTTGGCGTGGTATCGAAAGAGGATTTTATTGAAAAAATAGATTGGTGCAGTATATTTGTTGGTGTGTCATTGCTAACCAATTTGAGCTGTTGTTTAAAACTCCAAGACCTCAGGATTCACTGGATGCTTTTAGTGTCTGCTTGAATTTATGGTGAATATCATCTGTAACAACATGTGTGTTCATGGTTGTTTTCTATGGTTGTTGCAATCTGGAACCTTACTGTTTTTTCTTTTGGCGGTTGCGCATTTTGATCACTATAGTGATCTTTATGTATTTCCATCACAATAATCATGGGTCTAATAGGTCATAAATAAAGCTTTGTCTTTTCATATCAGCAATAGCTATTCCCATACAATGAATTAAAGACTTTTTATCAATTCGAAGACTAAATCACCCAATATCCTTAGACAAGTCACACACTTAATGTGATGTTTTCATGACCCAAAATGAAAATTGCTTTTTTTTCAGTGTGTGTAACACGCTTAATTTTAATTATGTTTATAGAATCTAAACACTAAGTGATCTTCCGTAATCTTTTCCTGGCTGTATGTATTTTTTCTTTTCAGGAAGTTATTGTTCTTTGCCTGAGCTACTATTTTGGAGTCGGGTGTCTTCTTCTTAATTTAGCTTGAGAATGGAAAATCATGGAAAGAAGGTGTTGCTTACTTCCAATGGTGATGACATTTGCAATAACATTGCTTACCATTTAGCTCAGAGGGGTTGCCAGTATGTACTTTCCCTGTCTCAAACATGCATAAAGTCATACTTCTATTCATACACACATACGCGCTCGTGCGCGCACACACACACACTCAGAGGTTACTGTCTGTCAGATGGAATATAGTATTGGCACTCTGATACTCACATTTCATTGGCACAATTTCTGCATAAATGACATAGCATAAACTCTAGTTAATCCTTTTGTTGATTCTACCACTTAGATTGGTTTTGATGGGAAATGAGCTCCAACTGAAGAGTGTAGCAGAGAATATAAAGCAATCTCTAAAGGGTAGCGTTGCAATAGAAGTTGTGGGATTGGATATGACGGAGGATAGAGAAACTGCTTTTGATGAAGCTGTGGACAAGGCATGGAAGATATTTGGGAAGTTGGATTCCTTGGTACACTGCTATGCTTATGAAGGTACAACCTGACCTTTATTTCAAACAAATATTGTTATTCTTTAGATACAGAAGGATATAAAATGACAATGAAATTGGTATTTGTCTTAATAAAAAAAGAAGTGGTATTTGTGTGTTCCATCCTGAGGTAAGGGTAAGGTCTGCATACTCTCTACCTTCCCTAGACCCCACTTGTGCGACTACACTGGGTATGTTGTATGTTGTTGTCTGTTCCATCCAGTATATGGTGAACCGAAAATAATTATCTGTGAAATGTGAATGGCTAACTAATTTTGTCAAATTAATGACATAATAAAAGGTTTGGCAAATCATAGAAGATTAGGACTTAATTATATGAGTGATCTTTTGATAAAAGTAGTCCTTAAATTATGAATAATAGTTGACCTACAGTCTTGATCTTGGTTTATTAACCGATTTCAAGTTTACTCGGAGGTTTTGGCCAGAGAATATAAGCATTGGGCCATTATCAAACTGACTGCAATCTATTTTTGGTCGTGACCCGTTAGAGCATTCTAATTCTGATATGCGATGAATTAGATCAAAACATCTACTGTAGCTTGGAAAAGACTTGCAATTATCTCAGGGAAGCTATTATAAAAATATAGAATTCTTTTTCGACATGAAGTGAATATATCTATACATCTTATACCTTAATTGTGAGATGATAAAATATGTCAGACACTATTCTGAAATTTAATTTGCATTGAGATGATGAAATATGGCAGACACTATTCAGAAATTTAATTTGCATTGAGAAGGATATAAAAAAAAGAAGATTAAAATAGCGGATTAAACATCTGTACAAGTGTGAACTAATTGAATATAAAAAATATTGGAATGGGTAGTACATTAGGAAAAACGCCTAAAAGATATCATGACCTTATCCCACATTCATTTTTAGCTGATCCGTTTGGTTTTATATCTTTTTGTTGATTTTCTACAGAGAACGCCATTTGTTAAACTGTGTAGTTTGAAAATTTTGTATTCTTACATAGAATATTACCTGTTTGTGTTTGATAAATGCCCTCCTTTATTGTTCCATGTTGTGAAATTCTGAGCGCATGCTTGTTGTTAACTAACTTGATAAATTGAATGAAAATCCATTATATTGAAGTAATTGTAAACACTAAATAGTACTTGAAAATCTATGATTTGTGAAATTTCTTCTTCATGGATTTGAGATCAATATACTTTCAATGTCAAGTTTCTTCTGTCTGTGGTGTAAATAATGTATGATGTTCTTCATTCATGTTTTGAGATTATTAAGTTGTTAGAAAGTGAAGACCTAACTTGGTTCTGGACTCTGGATAAACTGGTTTTCAGATCTCAAAGTCCATAGCTGTTATCATGGGGCATGTGGAAATATTTGGGCAATCCGTTGTTTCAGCTGTTTTAATCTGCTCCTTTCACTTAACTGATTTAACTTCCACCATCTTCTTAATTTTTCTCTCTTCAATATCTCAATGTTAGCAGGCCAATGGTGGACTAAGCTTTGTCAATTAAGGGCAGTGTTAGTGATGTGTGTAAAGAACACTTGTTATGTGTGTCTAGAAAACACAAGCTGCAATCCCTACATCTTTAGCGAGATAAAGCACCCAGGGACTCGTTCCCAAAATCTACTTTGTATTTAATAAAAAGCTAGTTGACAAGAGAATTTATCTTAGATATGTTAGATTGAGTGGGTCCAAAAGCTTATTAACTGATCCTATCTCATACATTTGCCATCTGAGGAACTCGTTTCTTCTAGTAACATGATTGCTTTTAGCATTATGTTATTAATTATTTTTGGTGCTTGCTGGTCTAGTGATATGGACATGCTAGTTTATAGATGCGTCATTAGGCCTTTGTTGAGAGGTGCAGCATGTTTGACATAAGCTTCTTAATACTTGTCATGCAATGAAACAGGGAAAATGCAAGATCCGCTGCAGCTAATTGATGACGAGTTCAAAAAAATTGTCAAAATAAATTTTATGGCTGGATGGTACCTGTTGAAATGTATTGGTAACAGAATGCGAGACAGTAAATCCGGAGGATCCATTGTATTTATGACCTCGATCATTGGTGCTGAGAGAGGAATATATCAAGGAGCTGCTGCTTATGGTTCATGTGCGGCTGGAATTCAGCAGCTGGTTAGGGTAAGTACCTGTTCATATTCTCTTGTATATTTCGGTGCATGATCAGATCGTGTAAGACCATATTCTATAAAATTATGTGGGACAAGAGTTAACCCATCTTCATAAACATTCGATTTATTGTTTCTCCTGTCGATCACCAGTCTTTTCCGTCTAATTACTAATTTATTCTATTAGCTATTGGTTGCTTGTCAGGACATGTTATATCATCCTGTACTGCATTATTCCTTTGAAGTTTTGGGAAAATTACCCAATTATGTGGAAGAAATAGTGAATTTTGGGAGGTATTATGTTGTTTAATATGATATATTAGTTTCTCTAAGTTTATCATCTTATTTCTCGAGCACTTTAAGTAGAACACACACCATGATATGTTCCCAGTTTTTCATTGGGGTTGTTGGGAAGTTCACTTAGCATGAGGAAAATATCAGCTTAAACTCTACCGATAAAGCTGCTTTAGCATCCGGAGCAATGCTGCCTCCGTTATATAACCATTTATTTGTGCTTAATTTGATAATAATATGTGTATATACACCTTGCTCAGTTATCTGCAATTGAATTGGGGAAGCACCAAATTAGGGTGAATGGCATAATGCGTGGCTTGCACCTCGAGGATGAGTTTCCTTTGTCAGTGGGTAAGGAGAGAGCAGAGAAGTTGACCAAGGAAGCAGCGCCTCTAAATCGATGGCTTGATGCTAAAAAGGATCTGGCTTCCACTGTCATCTATTTAATCAGTGATGATTCAAGATACATGACTGGAACCTCCATCTTTGTTGATGGTGCCCAGTCTCTAGTGAGGCCGCGAATGCGCTCATACATGTGAAGTTTCTAAATTATATACATGAATGGAGCCATAGACACTGGAATTATATTGTAGTATTGTGTAAAAGCACAAGCATCAGGGGAAGTACTATGAGCTGTCTGGATTTTCTTCTATTGTATTTGGTTTAAGTTTTCAATAAGGATGACATTCTTCTTTTTCCTCCTCATTTCTGTTGTGATTTAGTTAAACTTTAATCTATTTTAAGTGAGAATTTGTTGTGTGTCTTGTTGGTTCATTGTCTCTCTTTTATTGCTGCATATTTGTAACTAGTAAACAACTAATCTGATTATAAAAACATTTCAAAATCAAGACATTGTCTCTGTGTATCAATTTCAAAACCACACATGTGTGTTTGTCAATTGGATAAATTTTGCGAATAATTTAACAAGATAGGTAGAATGAATGTATACAAAATCTTGTTTAGTTTGAGAAAACTTATAAACAATTGAACACTACAAGCGCGTTTTGCCTATCTGAAAAGACTCGTGAACAATTTAATAATATATGTTGTATGAATATAGAACGAAGTCCTGCTAGTCCGACAAAACTTGTGAATAATTGGACAATATATACAAGTTTTAGGGTATAAGATATAAAACATATTTTTAGTGTGTGAAAGAGGTATAAAATATGGTAAATTTAACTAGTTTAGATGTGCTTTAGTTTTTAGGATCTGAATTTTATATAAAAATTGGTGTATCTTCACTTTGTTTTTACATGTTTGTATATATGAAATTTGTATACAATAATGTATTAGTGAATGAATTGTGCATATATTATGGTAAATTTAGCAATACCATCGATCATACTAACAAAAAATGATAATATCATCAAAATGAATAAACAATATCATCTATACTTAATACTTATTTCTTTTCAAAAATCTTGTTATCAAAATGCAAAGATATTAATAAAGTTTTTTTTCTTTTCCCACCCGATTTGTTTGTATTGGAGTTTCGACTAAATTTGAATCGCACACTACATGACTCATTTAGAAGTAACACTCCCAAACATGATTTTTTTCATACCTAAGGTTCGAACCTGAAACCTCTAATTATGATTTTTCATATCCAAGGATTGAACCGAGACTTCTGATTAAGGGTGAATAGTTCTATCTAAAATGACAAAATTACCCATTCTAATGTCGAGAAGCTTCTTTAAACCCCTTTTCTAAAACCCTACTGCAAATCTCTTAAACTTTCGCTTCCACATATTTCTTCTCCTCCTCCGTTACTTGTGGAATACTCTGTTTCAGTGAGACCAAATGCATAGGCTTTCGAAACGCTCCGTCAAATCTCTCCTTCGCAGCTCAACCGCTGCACGCTATCGAGATGTTGCTGCTCCAATTTCTTCATCCCATTTCTTTTACCAATCGGTATCCACTTATCCCTATGCTTTATCCCATTATACCCAACTTCTATTTTAATTTTACCATTTTTCATCACTTCTTCTTAAGATTGATAATATGATCTGTGTAATATGTTTTACCTTATGGAAAATCATTTTTTTGTATGAAAATAGGTGACACAAGGTAATACTTCCAATTTCTTTTACGAATCTGTGTGATATGTTTTACCTTAGGAAAGATCATTTCCCTTGTTTGGTATTTGATGAAAATACGGTATACAGTATTGTATGAAAATAAGTAACATAAAGTAATAGTATGAGGATGTGTTTCATTGATAATTTGCACATTAAAAGTTGAAATAGTGTATAAGTATTGGTTAAAACAGAGTTGGTGTATTTTCAAAGTATATTTTGCTATGTATGTTTTATTGTAACCCAGAAATGGACTTGGAAATGGGTTGAGTGAAAGGAATTTACTTATATGAACAGGCGGATGCTGATAGTAAAGGTAGATGGTATTCAGTATTGACTTCAGGAAGATGTGATGTCATTGAATCCACAAAGCCATTTAAAACAAGAAATGAGCCTTTTTTGGGTTGCCGATTTGAGTCAACAGCTGCGGCATCTGATGCATCTGACTCACCATCTGAGAAGTTTGAGTATCAAGCAGAGGTAAAAGTCACTATGAAAGAGTCAGGATAGTAAAGCTGAATAGTGTACTAGATCTTTGGAAATCTGAAAATTTATTTTGTTAACATGGCAGGTCAGTCGCCTCATGGACCTTATTGTTAACAGTCTGTACAGCAACAAGGAGGTTTTTCTTAGGGAGCTTATCAGGCAAGTAATTGCTAACTTTCTCTTTATTGTTTATAACCCCCGAACTTATATATTTCATCAGTGACTTTTGCGAAAACCAGTGTTCATAAAAGTGTTTTTGTATGCCATGCAGCTTTTATAACAGTGTTTTTTTGTTGTGAAAAGTTTTCTCCTCCATTCTAGATTTCTATTGCAAAGAGGGAGGGTATCACAATTAGAGTCAGTTCTGGATAAAAGTATGAATCCAAAAACAATATGAAGTTCAGATTTTACTATGACAACTTAAGATTCAGCTACTTGGTTTTCTGCGGAAGGCTAATTTATTGCCTCGTAATACTTGGTCATTGGATTATACCTGGCTCTGTAAATCTTAATGCTACCAATAATCTGCCAGCACTCTCCGTTAGTTGATATTATGTGAACTCTGGAGATCCTATTTGTGTTAAGAATGAAGTCACTAAACAAAGGAATTAAACAATCTATAGTGATACTTACATAGTTCCTGTTTGATGATGCAGTAATGCAAGTGATGCCTTGGACAAATTGAGGTTTCTTGGTGTTACTGAGCCTGAGCTTTTGAAGGATGCAGTTGATCTTGATATTCGCATCCAAACCGATAAAGAGAATGGCATTATTACCATAACGTGAGCTTCATAACCTATTAACTGTCTATGTTTGCTGTCTTGTTTGTCCATCACAGATGTTGAAGTTGTCATGGAATATGGTGTTGTACAGGGACTCAGGAATTGGTATGACTCGCCAAGAACTTGTTGACTGCCTTGGCACTATTGCACAAAGTGGAACTGCAAAGTTTCTAAAGGCTCTGAAGGTGCGTTGCTGTCATGTAATTATCTTTCTAAGTATTTTGCTTCATATAAGCTATATATAATGTTTTGCTACATGTGTTTTTACCGCATAACAGGACAGCAAGGATGCTGGTGCTGACAGCAATTTAATTGGTCAATTTGGTGTTGGATTCTACTCAGCTTTTCTTGTTTCTGAACGAGTATGTTTTGTGTCTATGGTCTTACTTTAGACTTCCTCTCAATTTTTTGACAATAAACAATTACCTTGATACATTTGTATCTCTCTTTTAATTTGCTAATGAAAGGTTGAAGTCTCAACAAAAAGCCCAAAGTCTGACAAGCAATATGTCTGGGTTGGAGAGGCCAATTCTAGCACATATACCATTCGAGAGGAGACTGATCCTGCAAAACAACTTCCTAGGGGAACCCGTCTCACTCTATATCTTAAGGTTGGTGAATCAATTTGTTTCAAAGGAAAACTTCTTATTCTAGTTATTTTACTGTTCTTTTGTTCCTGTTTGGTATATGTGCAGAGGGATGACAAAGGATATGCACATCCGGAAAGAGTAGAAAAGCTTGTGAAAAACTACTCACAGTTTGTTTCATTCCCTATTTACACATGGCAAGAGAAGGGATTTACAAAAGAGGTATGTGCATAACTTTTTCAAATAAAACCACACTTGGTTTTATCTACGGCCATGAGTTATGCTTGGGGTTCTAATTTTTAGCTTTACGCCTTGTGTAAACTTGATATGACTCCTTATTGCCTTGTGGTTACATGATCTTGGCTTTTTACAGGTTGAAGTTGATGAAGATCCAGCAGAAGCCAATAAGGAAGGGCAAGATGAGACAGCTGAGGTATCTGTTAATAGTACCTATCATGGGGGGAGGGGTAGCATTGTTGATTCTTTTTTTTTTTTGAGGAAAGGTTAAAGAAGTGACTTTCTTGATTCTACTGTTGTCTTTTCCCATTTCTGATGAAATTTCCAACTCTCTGCAACAGAAAAAGAAGAAAACTAAAAAAGTTGTGGAGAAATATTGGGACTGGGAGCTTACAAATGAGACTCAGCCAATATGGGTTAGCCTTCAGATTACTATCTCCTGTTGCCATGCTCCAAAAGTTTGTTTTTACTAATATACTGAGTTATTGCTTTTCCTTTTCCAGCTTCGAAGCCCTAAGGAAGTGAGTAAAGAGGAGTATAATGAGTTCTACAAAAATACTTTCAATGAATATCTGGAGCCTCTTGCTTCTTCACACTTTACAACCGAGGTACTAAAAACTTCTTTGATGCAGAATGCCTTTAGTTAGACTATTCTACTACTTCACCTCTTCTGTTTTAATTCTAGTATGATATCTTTTATTTGATGATAATATTGAAGGTTAAGTTTCAATTTTGTTAAACAACTCTCCTGGTTCTTTTGTTTTTTCTTTTTTTTTGTGTTTGTTACTTCATTTTGTCTTTGCTTTTGCTATGCAGGGAGAAGTGGAGTTCCGGTCTGTACTTTTTGTGCCATCTGTATCTGGAATGGGCAAGGATGACATGATAAATCCCAAGACAAAGAATATAAGGCTATATGTGAAGCGAGTTTTTATATCTGACGACTTTGATGGTGAACTGGTAAGATGAAGCCTTATTGTTATTTTTTAAGAGAAGTTCAATGCTCTAAATGGGAGCTGACTGGTGTGCCTGTTCTTTGGTATAGTTCCCACGCTACCTGAGTTTTATCAAAGGTGTCGTTGACTCAAATGATCTTCCACTTAATGTATCACGAGAGATTCTTCAAGAAAGTCGCATTGTAAGTGCTTCAGGCATACTATTCTTTTTGAGGCAATGGTCCATTTATCATTTGCATGTTTAAGCTTTCTTCTGACAAACTGTTTCGCGTTTGTTGTAAGGTTCGCATCATGAGGAAGCGGTTGGTGCGGAAAGCATTTGAAATGATTCAGGGCATTGCTCTCAGTGAAAACAGAGATGTATATTCACTTCTCAAGTCCTTGTGTCCATGGCTTTAGCCTTGTATATTTGTTGTGAAAACATTTATTTAGAGTGAATATTTGTCTTTTCCTGAAAGTTGTTGTTACCTTCGATTTGATGCATTAGCTGGTCATTTCTTCGGACTCTCATAGCACTTCTTTGATCCTTTATGTGCAGGACTACGAGACGTTCTGGGAGAACTTTGGGAAGCACCTAAAGTTGGGATGCATTGAAGATCGTGAAAACCACAAGCGTATTGCTCCACTTTTACGTTTTT